TAGTAGTAGTTAGTAGTAGTTAGTAGTAGTAGTAGTAGTAGGAGGAGGAGGAGGAGCAGCAGCAGCAGCAGCAGCAGCAGCAGGATGGCAGGATTCCAGTAGAATATCAGGTTCTCCCGGGCTGCCCACCCGGTTGTTTGCATGCTTCCCCAGGGGTGAAGATTATTTTCGAGCCTTTCCAGAGCACTGTGAACCCTGAGCGCTAAACCGTGAACCCTAAACCCTCAACCAGAACCAACAACTCCTCAACCCTGCATCCTGAGATCGGGTTGACATGGAACGTGTGTAGGGACTGCAGACAGCGGCTTCCCGTCAGCTCAACGTATAGTCAGGATTCTAAAGCTTAGGTTCAGAAGTCTTCTAGTAAGTTTTGGGGCACCAGGGTTTCTTGATGCAGGGTTTCAGAAACATTGTAGTAACGGACAGTCGAAACGGGAAACAGTGCATATCGGGAGTCAGAAAGCTGGCTGCATCGGTCGTATGTCAAGCACTCTTGTTCAGAACCACTACCTGATTGCCAGCCCCGATTCATTATGCTGCCCCTCGCTCTTGCAGGTTGGGACCCCTAAACCCTAAACCCCATTACCGACAGCCTTGCACCCACCAGTCCTTGCAGTCCATCGCTACGAACATCCTTTCTTATCAGCCTGCCTTTTGTCATATTGACCGCGCCCTCAAATGAGACTTTAAACCTAAACCCGCAAGGGTCAGACAGCTATGACCAAGGGCAAGATCTTTGCTCGCGGGGTATGCGCAAGCTGCTTGTCACATTTGACTGGCACTGTCTCAGAGAAGGGATCCCTCTCCTACTCGGAGGAACCATGTGAACAACACCCCTACAAGGCCTCAGGCACAAACCAGCAGTTCACTGTACAGGGATCGTTGGCTGGCAACATGTGCGGCCCATAGTCTGTCATGCATTCAGGCCTAGGCAAGGGAAGCACGACGTCATCCAGACTTTAGGACTACTTGCGTGACCATTGCTAAAACAAGCTATAATCTAAACTCCTAGTATCCCTCTTGATAAGCCCTATAAGAGTCCCCTATATAATCCCTTACACAATCCCCTTCACAGAGCTTAGAGCTCATATCGTACTATCTGCTTCCCTGCCTAGATGCGGACACCCCAGAACAAGTCAAAGCTCTGGGACCCCGTAGCCACATGGGTTTAGGGTTTAGGGTTTAGGGATTATACAGGGGATTAATTAGGGGAGTATTATAGGGGATAGTAAGGGGGATACTAGGAGTTTAGACTGTAGCCACATAGCACTAGCAAAGCCCCCATTTCTCTTGGCAGTTTCCCTAAGTAGGGGGACCCCATTACAGCCCCCAGATACTATAATTCCAATAATGAGGTACCCCTACTCTTGGGAAACGAGAGGAGTGAGCTGAGAAGGCCGCGGGTATGACCGCTGAATTATGCGGTACGCCTTTCCTTGCAAACGCTTTGAAAGCGTACTGGGAACATCTAGGAATTCGTTGAAACCTCACTCCTACATCTAGGCACACCCTCTAGACTCCCCCACTCGAAGCGCTCATCACTGATCACGCAGCTGTCATGGACAGCAGTCGCAGTCACTTTCCCAGGCTGCTGGCACTGGCACGTCGACCTGTCTTAGCGTATGATCCCCCTTAAGTAGATAGAATATGGGGTATATGGGGATCTTAGTATAATATACCCCAAACCATATTCTATCTACTTGAGGACCCCTATACCCTAATATAACCCATTACAGTAGTTTCCATGTTCTTTTCCATTCTCCCTATATAACCCCAATAAACCCTAATAATCCCTATATAACCCATATTCTATCTACTTAAGGGGGATTAGAAGCGTAAACCATGCTGAGTTCAGGCGAAGGCTTCGAGATGTGTGAAATGTGGTGCTGTGATTTGAGGGTTATTGGGGTTATATAGGGGTTAGAAGAGTTATGGGGGTGACAAAGGGCTTCTACGGGTTGATAAGGGCTATAGGGTAACATATAGAATTTAGGGCGTGGTTCGGAGTTCATGATGCAGGGGAAGCTCAGTTAGGAAAGAGGTAGCCGCAGGTCATCCCGCCCTCAAGCAACTGATTCCTGTGTTTGGAGGGGCTTTCTGGGCCCTGAACCTTCAGCACCAGGCGATTCACCGCCAGACCGTTGTCGTGGTACTGAGTTTCCGGGGACCTGTGGACCAAACCCTTCACAGGCTCTGGGAACTTCACCCCCTTGATGAAGAGCATGTCGCCCACACCAGCAGAACGAATCTCCGACTTGTCCCGGATAATGCGCTCATTTCCACCTACTCCAGGGGAAAAGAAGCTATGAGGTGGTTTGGGGGGAATGATATACAAACATTGAATAAAGATTCAAAGAGTGATGTGGGCAACTCTTCAGCCAGGTTTGAGCATCCCCTTTGTCGACCGTCTTCAGGAGCACAGAAGGAACCATAATACAGCAAAAACCAAGCAACAGAAACTGTATCATTATACAGCTGGCTACAACCAGTAACTTCGTCATACTGCAACGTCTGAAAACTGAAGGCCCTTCAGCCAACCGAAAAACAAAAGGACAGTTCCGGGAACCCCAGCAACTGAACCACATCCCCTAATATTAAACCCCCCCCCCCACCCCTAATATTGAATACTCCCAATGTATCTGAACTTATCACCTGAGTCTAATATCATGGGCAGGGATTACACGTCTTTGACTCATTTCCACCCTTGTGCTCCAGCTCCCAGAAGTTCACATTGTCATCTGCGGTGTAGAGTGTGCCTGCTGAATTGTAGCTCACAATGGCCCTGGCGCAATAATAATCTCGGTGCCACCGCCGGCAGCTCCTGACTTAAAGTAACGCTTAATCTTTGGTTTCTGAATCCTTTCATATGCTTTTCTAGCTCAAATCCTGAACCCCAAAGTTTACCAAAATGCTACACCTAAACCCTACATCCTGATCCGTGAAAACCACACCTACACCTCCCAAAATAGACCATGAGCCAACAAGGATCTTCTCCCCTATCAGCTCCAGCTTGACCAGCAAGGAGTCCCCCCAAGGGCCTCGGATTCTAATAGGCTATATAGGGTTTAGGGTTTAGGGCCTAGGGTATAGGGCTTAGGGTTTAACTTTTTTTCTCGGACCTTTTCTCCGTGGCGTTTAAGGTTTAGGGCTTAGAATTTAGGGCTTGCGGTTCAAGGTTTAGAGTTTAGAGTTTGGGGGGGCTCCAGGTCGGTGCCTGTACATAAAGCGCATGAAGGGCTGATATGGGTAGACTGGGGGGTATGCAAAGGCTATGGAAAGGCCATAGGGATAGAACTACCTCCGGGACGGAGACAGGTATCGTTATATTCCATACCACACTTTCAAAGGGGTCGCTCTTGCATGCTTCGATGTTTTCCATTGAGCTTGTAATGTCTAGAGCCTCTCCGGCGCTGCTAGGAAAGGTCCGGAAGATACTCTACCCCACACTGGGTCCCAACAGTCCAGAGTTTCGTTTGACCTGGCTGAGCCGTATCCCTCAAACATAAAAACTGGTTAAAACCAAGGAAAACAACATTGGGAGGAAAGCCGAAAAATGAGGTGGTGCAGGACAGTGATAACTTAGGACAGTAAGCAATGACTCCCCTATGCTTTTGGAGATTCCTGGGCTCTTTAGCTCCCCTTATTATACTGATATAGACTATCCCTAGCTCCTTAGCCCCCCCCAAAAGTATGGGTAAGCAATGATGCGTCCAGGGGCATAGCTCCCCAACCGTGGTGGCGAGCTGGCAGATGTCTCCATGGACCGCATCCTGCCGACTGCAACAGGATCTACATGAGCATTTAGTCTGAACTTCTAGTAACTTGCTAGCCCCCTTACTAAGCCCCTATAGTAGTCCCCTATATAATCCCTTATAGAACCCCCCCTTTAAGGAGTTTAGACTCTAGCTCACATGAAATGTAAGGCGTTTGAGAGTTAGCGGTTTCGGGTTAGGGTCGTAGGTATTGAAGGTTTGGGTTTGAAGGGCTTAGGGCCTCAGGCTTTAGGGCCCGGGTACGGCCCTTTTACAAAGTCTACATCAAGCCTGGGAACGGAGGCAGAAAGTGTCGAATACTTGAAGGCTCATGATTTCAACAAAAGGCCGCGGGGAGTTGGAGATGTATGTGCTGGTATAGAGTATACACATGCATGGAGGCCAGTATTGATCATCAACCCCTCTGGAGTGTTCATTATTCTTGCGTCTGAAGTATTCATTAATCTTGCGTGGTGATTCAAAAAGGTTATGCACAAGTGAGGGTCCAAAAGAGGCACCATAATGAGGACGCACCCATTCTAGAATCCAAATGCCATAAGGCCTAAACCCTAAATCCTAAACCGCGTCCTTCACATCCTGAGGAAGGTTGACCTTCTGGAGGATTTTCTCGGCCACATCCTGGAAGTCACCAAAACCTGAGTTTATAGGGGGCGGGGGGACATACTGCGGCTACATACCTGGGGTTTACAATGCAAGTCTTAGGGTTTATAAGACGTGTATTCTACGCGTTGTTTAAGGGGACTTGCATCGATAGTATCTGAAGTGCAAGACTACCTAGACCCTCACACAGGATATTCCATGTACCCTAAACAAGGGTAGGTATAGGGGTCTAGGTGGTAGCTGCTCCAAAGCAAGAAGTGCAAGGTATGGCACGCAGGTCGAGGTCGCAAAACCAAAATAAGTCCTAAACCCTAAATCCTAAACCCTACTCCCTAAATCCTAAATTCTTAACCCTAAATCCCAAACCCTAATCCCTGAATTCTAAACCCTTTTCCCGAAACCCTGAACCCTAGGCCTACCTTTAGCCTCATGAGGGCTAACCATGAGTCTGACACCCTCCAAACACCGGAACACATCTTGATGACGCCCTAAACCCTAAACCCCAAACCCCCTACACCGCAACATATCTTGACAACCCCTTACCTAAACACCAAAACTATGTAAAATAAAAGCCCTGAACCCATAATCATAACCAAAAAGGCCATTATTTTACCTACTTTTGGGGTCCAGGTAATCGCTAAAAGCTAAACGCCCCATACGCTGAACCCGCTGCTTCAGCAACCCTCCGGACCACGCTTCACAGAAACGATCAACTTCTCATCCTCGCCGAGGTCGCGAGACACCTGGGGCCAGTGAACCCCAAACCCTAAACCTCAAACCCTAAACCTCAAACCTTAAACCCTAAACCTCAAACCCTGAACCCTAAACCTCAAACCCTCAAATCCTAAACCTCAAACCCTAAATCCTAGACCTCAAACCCCTAAACCTCAAACCCTGAACCCTAAACCTCAAACCCTAAAACCCTCAGCTGTAAAGGCTGGCAATGCAAAACTCTTCAAAGAGGTTCAGGAGCAAACGGTGCTAGCGGCCCTTTGGTAAGGCTTACAGAAAAGAGCCTCCGAACCCTAAACCCTGAAAGGGGTTATATCGGGATAATGGAAAAGAAAATGGATACTACTATCATGGTGTTTAGGGTTGAGAGTTCAGGATTTAGGACTTCTATGATACCTCATCATGACAAAGCAAGGTAGAAATGATTCCCTCGCAGTCCTTATACAGATAGAACTAGAAAAGACGCCCCAAACTCTCTTCGGGTTGAACCTACCCCCGCGTCGTTGGACGTCTCTGATGTCTGAGGGCGTTGGGCGGAAACAGGGACCCTTGGGAGATGTAGGGACTGTAAGGCTATTATCGTTGTCTCTATTGGGGATTGTATAAAGCGTATTTTGAAATACTCTGTATCCCAAGACCCTCCATCTACCCTCTGTGACCCTAGACTGGGCACCATATGAGCTAGGCAGCTAGTCTAAACTCCTAGTATCCCCCTACTTAATAAGCCCTATACTACTCCCCTATATAATCCCCTATGTATCCCCGCTTTAAGGAGTTTAGACTATAGTATATATATATATATTTATGTTTATATCCTTCTTTAAGGGTACAAGAGGGGTCCTGGCCCTCCCCTAAACCCTAAACCCCTACAGAGCTTTGACAACAGCAAGCCTGGTCGACGGCTCCTTGGCAATCATTCCACCAGGCCTTTCTTTCCTGAGCTGGGTGAGTTTAGGGTTTAAGGGTTTTGAAAAGCCAGTCTCAACCCAAGAGCCCACAAGAGATAACGTCTAAGACTCCTTAAAAGGGGGAGTACATAGGGTTTAAGGGTTAGGGAGTAGGGTAGGGTTTAGGGAGTAGGGCTTCAAGTTTAGGGCTTAGGGTTTAAGGCTTGGGATGGTTTAGGGTCTTGGGGTTTTAGGGTTTAGGGTTTAAGGTTTAAGGTTTAGGGTTTAAGGTTCAGGGTTTAGGGTTTAGGGTTTAAGGTTTAGGGGTTTTTAGGCGCCAAGGTAGGAGTGTTGCACAGCTTTAACGATACGTAGTGGCTGTGGTATATTGACTGCTGACAACTTGGGCTTGTCCCTACCTAGCGCTTAAGGAGGGGGGGTTCTCAAAAAGCAGGAATTCTAGTAATAGTGGCATACCTTGACTATAAGCCGGACCCTATTGTAATCACCACCATCTGTCATAGTCACTATGAATGGGAAGGGGATCCACATAATGTATTTTGCTGTCCAGATTGGAAAGGCCATGCTGACAATAGGGCGACGCGCTGCAGCCCCCGAACAAACAAAAAAGCAAACACACCTTAGGGTTTAGGGTTTTGGGGGTTTAGGAGTGGTATTTCGGCTATAAATTCCTAAGGCTTCCTAAGAAGGCCCTGATTCCAGAAGCTTAGGTTCAGCGTAAGTCTGTTCAAAGCATGGTCAGGCTTCCATCAGCAGGCCATTGAACTGGGCGGACTCCGGATGCAACCAATCCTGTGCTAGCTTGTCGGAGGCCCGTGGAAATTCGATGTGTAGTTCTACAAATTCTGGAGAGTGTCGGCTCCATATATCAAACGCGTCTGAAACCTACGCCCCAGACCCTATCAGTGCTAAGCGCTATTAAGCCGCAATAGCCTGTAGAAATCTATTCTCTAAATCCTAAACTCCAAGCCCCAAGTCCTTTGCAAAGAAACCCCTGCGTCCTCCAAGGAGCTCGCACGCAACAAAGGAAATGGAGACTTCACAGCTGCCAGGGGAGTGGGTGTAGCCTGGAGCTTTTCTGGCGTTTCCTGGATGTTCATCATCAAGTTTGCCTGGGTGCGAGCCAACTTAGGTGCTGAGTCCCGGTGTGATCATTAATTTTCGTTTACGGTTTAGGGTTTAGGTCTTAGGGGGCAATTTAACTTTGGGAAATTGCCTGGCGATCATTGTTGCTGAGGGCATTCGGCATGACAGTCTCCATGACCAGAGTGGTTGCCATAGCTCAGCACACGACTCAAAGGCAGTCCTTCCCAGTTTCCTAAAGAATTGTGGCAGGCGAAATGTTGCACACTATGCAGACTCCTCAGCTAAATGACACCAGAACAAATCTGACGACCCAAGCGCAGTAGCAGGTGGAGGCAATACTTTCGTGTGAGGGACAAGATCACCTAAAATCATTGATGAGGCTTCGCAATCCCTACTTGTACTTTCCGTGCAGTACTCTTATATCTATGAATCAGTCTGCTGCTTTTCTATTGCCACTACAGTGACTGCGACCGGAGTTATCCCAAAACACGTCATAGACCCTGTGGACGCTTTTTGAAGCCGAGCTTGGTAATGAAATGGCCGATTCCAAGTAGAGGTAGGAAAACATGTTTACACCAAAGGGTCTAAGAAAGAGCTTGATTGCAGCGACTAAATGGGGCCTAGGGAAATCTCAGCCCTTTGCCCTTACTAACACCTGAACCCCAGGGCATATCGTGGGGATTAAAAAACGCGCCTCTGTGATGTTCAAAGCCCAATCATCTAATGCCCAACATTCCTGAGGCCTTAGAACCCTAACCCTAAACCCTGACTCCTAAACCCTACAGTTGCAAGGATACGTGTGACGGATTTTGAAGGGCAAGTCTTGCACATAGGGAAGGTAGCCGGGGACGGTGTGAGGGCGAAAGGCCGCGTTCCAAGATCTTGGGTATGGTTTAGGGATTAGGGTTTAGATTTTAGGGTTTAGGGTCTGGTGTTCGATGGGAGTTGTGCGGAGACTCTTGGTTTTCGTTGAGAAACAACTAGGCGGGCCGAATGGCTTCAACACAAGCTGGCTGAGCCAGGCGTTATGTTTGTAATGCTTCGAATAGGAACTGAGCCTATGGGTTACTACTGGAATTGTGTAAACGTTCATGCTTTCAGTCTTCGGGGTTTAAATAGCGCCAGGTGAAGAAAAGAAGCCACCAAATACCGCACCTCCATGATGTCGGAACTCGGAAAATGTTTCCTTTGCCGCTGATTTCATTCCTTGTTTCTGCTGCTCTTCCTACTACTTCTCCAAACACTGCTTCAGCTACATACTACCCTAAACCCTACATCCTAAACCCTGAACCCTAAACCCTAAACCCTGAACCCTAAACCGTACTCCTGCTACCATCAAAGCATCCGCAGCATTGCAGCAACAAAACATACAGCGGGCAACGCCTTGAGCCTACATCCCCGAACCTAAAATTACAAAGGGTATATTGGTTCAGGTTTTAGGATTTAAGGTGTAGGGTTAGGGGTTGGGGTTAATGTCCCCCTATCATGGAGAATCAAATGGGAAAACGGACAACGAGATGGACACTGGGGGAATACAGCGACCTAAATCTAGTATCCATTGCTCTGAACACAGAGCTTAAGACCGAAACCATGCAGACCAAAGGGTTTAAGGTCTATGGCTTAGGCCTTAGGGTTGAGGGTTCAGGGCTCAGGGTTTTGGGCTTAGGGTTTAGGGTCTATAGAGTTTCGGGTTTGAATCCCAAGCCTGCCCTGCTGTGTCTGAGTCTGCTGGCGTGCGCAAGCGACAGGCAGATGTGAATACCTGCCCATATGAGCTGGATTATACAGGGGATTCTATAGGGGAGTATTGTAGGGCTATAACGGGGGATACTAGGAGTCTTGGCGATACGTCAAAAAGGCGCTTTCGGGAAATTCGTTTTGTTCTTGTGAGGGGTCGCCTATAGTAAGGATTATATGTTATAATGGTTCGTGGTATCTTATTTATGGAAGCGGCCATAGATTGAAACTTGCGTAATCAAAGCCAGCTAAATGACAACCCTGGTTCAGTGATATAGGGCTTGTGGGCCTGGGGTTTAGGGTTTAAGGTTTAGGCTTTGGGGTTTAGGGCTAATGGGCCTGAATAGTCAAGGCTTGAAGGGAAACATTCCCAACGTTGCAACAATGCTGTGTTGAGGCTGCTGCATTATTACCTGGAATGACAAAAATGTTGCGCCCCAGCGGCACAGCCTCCAGGCCTTCAAAATGGCCTCTGATCATTGGTGGATATAAATTACCTTGCATGACCCTACTTACCCAAACCCTGGCAATTCTGGCGCGATAGCATACCGAGGGTCATGCAGGATGATACCCATCAACCGTTTCAGGGACAGAAGCGTGCGGCCACAGGGCAGGGAAGGGAGGTGGGCAGACGTTCCTGACAAACCAAGCCATGTGCAACAGCATTCTGAGCATAGAGCACGGGACAAGCAAGCTTCCAAGTGCTACTATTCGTCTTCATCGTGATGTTAACACTTTTGGGACTCTGCCGATCCAGCAGTGGGAGACTCTCACAGTTCAATGTGTCCCAGATCTCTGAGTAAAGTAGGCTCCAATCCAACCAGTCAAAGGCCTTGGGGTCTAGAATGCAATGGTTCTTCAAGGGTTATGGGGGATAACATTCGTAACTGTGTAGGCTTCTACATTTATCTCACAATGCCCAGAACCGTCCGAAACGCACCCCCCCTCTCCTCCTTATGTGGCAGCATGAAAGATACAACAGGCAGCAAACAGAGTGAAGCACAACACGCAGCAAACAGAGTGTAGCCTGCATCAGTCGCCGCCTCAGCAAACAACTCAGGCTGATGTAATGTTTTCGGCGGGTGGTCTGGGCACACGCTACGAAAGTCTTGAGAATACAGGAGATGGTTGGTGCAACTTAACATGCTAGACATGCATCTGGTTCCTTCCCCTGAAGCCACCGCCCACCCCACGCTGTGTGGCCCATAAAGGCGCCAGGACATGAAGGCAACTCATGACGATTGACAAAGACCGGGAAACACGAGCTAAGTAAGCTTCAACGAAGCTTCTGCAAGTTTTGAACGCCCGTGAAACATCCTGAAAGAGGCATCTCCTGCTTGCCGGCGAGAAATTAAGAGCCATGCGCGCTGCCAAAACCCGTTGTCTTCCACCTGTAACCCGAAGCCCTAAAGACATCGACTGCATGGACGTTCAGGGTAATTATGACCCAATATAATTGCCCCAGCTATGACTCGTGTTATAAGCACCCGGAACCTCCAAGTATGATGTCTACGAATCAGTCCGAGGGACCGTGGGTCATCCACGACCACCACCACCCGTGGCCTTGGCGGTATAGTCCCCCTTAAGTAGATTGAATATGGGGTATATGCGGATCTCATTATAACATACTGAAAGCCATATTCTATCTACTTAAAGGGGACTATATTAGAATGTTAGCTTGCTACCCCTTAGGAGGGGTTGAGGGTTTTAGGGTTTAGGGTTGAGAGTTGCGGCAAGGGCTTTGGGTCATGGGGCTTAGAGCTTCCATCGTTTAGTTTAGGGTGTATGTCGTAGGTCCAAAAAGGAACAAAGGAGCCACAAGAGGTACGCTTGCCTGACAATTGGAGAACCTTCTGACGATCTCCTGGAGAATTTGAAGCTCGCATGCATGAAGAGATGAGGCGATGAGGCCTTGAAATGTCGGACTTAGGGTTTAGGGCCTGGGATTTTGGATTTGAGATGTATGCTAGGGCCTGCAGTTACACGCGACTCCAATATTTGGATTTGGTCTTGGGTTTACGGCCTCCAGGCATAACCTGACCTGTTGGGGGATAGAATTTACGGTTTTGGGCTGGGGCTTAGGACGCTCAGGCTTTACTGTCCTGGTCCAACCCGTTGAGGTAGCAACAAACACATTAAACTTAGGATCAGTCCCGCTAACCCAAGGGTCCAAAGACTCGATAGTCAAATACGTACCCAAAACCTGTACTATGATATTACGCCAAACCCCCAGAGCCCTTAGCCCGATCCCTAAAACCTATAAGCTCTATAAACCCAAAACCTCAATAGTCATATACTTACTCAAAACCTCAAAACTTATACTATATATTATACCAATCCGAAGTACATAAGTATTGGGACTACATATTATACCAATCCGAAGTACATAGGTATTGGGCACTTTCACCTTAGCCCTATCCCTGAATTATAAGCTCTATAAACCCAAAACCTTTACCCCAATCCCAAGTGCATAACTATTGGGCTATACAGCACCAATCCCGAACAAGAATTCTTTCTACCAGCGGGGTTCCGATGATTGTCCCTTCAACTGACTTGCTGCTAAGGAACTTAGTTTAAGTTACCATATTACTTATGGGTATATAGTAAATAATGGGGTTGCCTTATTAACAAGTCCTGAACAGACACCCATTCAAAGACCTGGAAAGCCAGACTCAAATCATCGCCGAACCAAGTCGCTTTGAGGACCCGATGGTATGCAAGCGCAGGAAGTCATCCAACGCTGCCTTGTCGGGGGGGCCCTTACAGGGTCAAGGGGCTTAGGGATTAAGGTTTCCGGGCTAAGGCCTATCTGGGCTTAGGGTCAGAGACCAGAACCTAATTGACTGATAGTAATTGGTAATTAGTTTTCGGTCAAGGGGCTGCAGGGACGGAGGGTTCTTGATGGCTAGGCCAGCGAGTATGTACTGGAAATCTACTGGAACTGATACAAGTAAGAAACCTTAAGCCGTATGTTGCAGTTGTCAGCTTTGATACGGAGAAGTAGCTGGCAGTAAAGAAAGAAAGGATCTACACCAGGTACTAGGTTGCTTGCATGCTGTTCTTTTGGAAGCTTCTGTTGTGACTGGGAGTCTTTAACCCTACACCCTGAAACGCTGAATTTGGATCAAAGAAGCGAAGAATTCCTACTTCTTTTGAAGCCTCGATCGCGCTGCGACACAAGCCGGAAAATCCTTTCATAACCCCAAGGCGGATTTGAGAAGACGGTTCAAAGGGGTTCTAGCGAAGAGAAGCTGAGCAGGGCTTATGCTCTGCCTACACTCTGAGCTAAGGATACCCGCACGGATTCCAACAATTCGCACGATTCCTATTACATTCACCTATTCTGAAATCATAGCCCTCCTTAAACATGCAGATTGCGGTGGCAAGGCGGCATAATCTAGGCTTCCAAGTAGCATTGGGATCCCCAACCACTGAATTGGCAAGCCTATGACTACC